CCCCTACCGAGGACTTTTACCTACATTCCATGCTCCATCCTATCAGCAACTCTGTCCCATCTTGCAGGTGAGGAGACGGGCTCAGAGCGGTCAAGTTCACATGAAGTTATACATTTGAGCCAGGCTTTACGCTCGGCTCTGCCCAGCTCCCACATGCATGCCCTTAGCCACATGCTGACTCATGATCAGACCCTGTTGGTCAGGCAGGAAGGTAACTGTTTAAGGGAGAATTGAATTGAATTTTGAAATCTGAAAGGAGGAGCCATGTTCGTATTGTTCACATTTGTATTTCCAGCACCCAGCCCGAGCTTGGCATAGAATTGCTGTTTAGTAAATGTTGATTGAATGTACTCATGGTGACTGTTGATGAAACCATGTTTACAATTCTGTGCTTCAGGAATGAGGGAAAGGGCTGCTTCATGGGATCCCAGTATTTCTACTCCAGAGGGCCTCATTGCAAAGTATTTGGGAGTTGTATGAGTGGGAATGCAGGGGTACGTGGCGGGGGGCGGTACAGTTGGCCAGGGAAAGGCAATCACAGCAAGTTAGAGCTTGCCACATATGAGCACATCCACAAGTTGAAGCTGCCTGCCAGGCAAACAGTCCACAGTGGAATCAGTTGCATCTTGGGAGTGGTGGAAATCTGGAAATGCAAAACTGAAGGCCCTGGTGTTGGGGAGAGAAGGGGAGGGCTGGGATCAGGTGCCGGGATGTCCCCACCAAGCCTGGGGAGATGGCTGCCTGTCCCCTTATACCCAGCTAACCTGAGATGTGGACGATGTGTGGAGGAGAGTGAATGTGTGTGGCATTCCATGTTCACCTTGAACTTGACCCCTGGGGACCTTGCAGTACAAAATGGGCAGATGTTTGACTTGAGTCCTGATTGATGAAAAGATGCCCCCCACGGGAAGAGTGGGAGGACACCCAGTCCAGACAGTGGAATAGCAAAGGGCCTAGGGCAGGAATAAGTCTGGTGAATTTGAGAAAAAACAAAGGCTGCCATTGGACATAGTTACCTAACTGCCAACTGCTACTGAAAAAGCACATGCTGTCAGGAGTCACCCAGGCTGGAAAAATCACAGCATGTGCTCCCCACTCTTTGGGAATTTAAGGTATTACAGGGGCGAGGATGTCCTAGGTAACATCGCTAATTCTTGCATGCATCAAAGCTTAAGCTGAAATCTTTCTAGAATGTGTTCTGCCTTCTTAAATCAGAGCTGCCAAACATAATTTATCTTTTTATTGGAGACCTTGGGCAGATTATGACTGCCTGTTGTCATAGGGCATGGGGTTGGTGGCCGAGATATCATTCTGTCCTTGGTCAGGCCTCCAACCCCAGGGTGCCGCTGTCCTGCTCCCTGAACCCCGCTCCACTACCAAGTCTCTGCCTGGCCTGGAAAACATGCAACCCACTGTGGAGAGGAGTCCTGCCATGCTCTAACTCAACAATTCTAAGTTTTACACAGTCATCTGCCCCAAGTTTGCAAAAATGCATGTGAAAGGATGTTTGTTGCAGCCACATTGCTGGAATAGCAGCCACTTGTCCTTGAAGTGTTGAGGAATGCTGTGCGGCTCAAAAAGTGAGGCAGATCGACCTGCGGATAAAGGTCAAGACACGCTTACTAGGAAAGCAAATCAGGAAATAGTCTGTTCTCCTCACTCAGAATGGACATGCTGCGTCTGTCCCAGCCCCTCCAGGCCCCCTGACTCTCCAGCACAGTTCCTAGAGGAATCAGTTCCACTGCCATCCCCTCACCCACAGGCTGCAGCCACGTGGCCCTTTCTGTCCCTCCTGTCCCTAGGCTCCTCCCTGCCGTCACCCTGGGTCACCCTGGGTCGCTCCTTCATGGCTTCCTCAGACTCTCGCTGGCGTCTTTCCTCATCAAGACTTGAACTCCAAGGAGCCAGGACTTGGCTGATTTAGTCGCTGGCTCGATGATATCTGTCAGTTAAGGCGTATTCAGTGTGTGGGCGAGTGAATCCCACTTTTACAAAACACAGTGAGAAGTATTTATTAGTGTGTGTAGAAATTAGAGTGTTTTGATAGAATCGATATGTGTTTGCCAGCAGTCCAGATTGAAAGTGTCAACGCCTGACGTCTCTCTGCTCTGGAAATTCTAAAAAGGAAGTGTGAACTCAGAGAAACCCCCTCCCCCAAGGGAGACCGAGTGAAATGTGTTATGTAAGTGAAGCTTTGGGTTTCAGACCAGGAGGCAATAAAGCGAGTGGCCTGAGTCTGCCCTGGTGCTTATTCTACAGAAGTTCCTGGGAACGCTCCTCCCTTGAAGCAGAACTTTGGCTGAGTGTGAGAACAGTTCCAACCCCTGCTTGGGAGGGGAGTCTGGCCCTAGGAGAAGGGAGAGCTAAGCCTGAGGAAGTTTCCAGGTTGAGAAGGGAGGGTAGGTTGTTGAAAATTCAGCCTGATTTAACAGCAAAGAGTGACTCAGAAAATTCAGGACTTCAAAAGGCCAACATGCCAGGGAGTAATCTTAATCTTCCCAGGGTCCCTATCTAAATCAGGGAGGAAGGGGTGGGGCCAGCAGGGAGAGAGCCAGACTGGTCCCCTCTCCCTGTCATACTTCCTGATCCTTGCAAAATCATGTTAAAACCTCCAGGACACACTAATATAGTCTGCTGTTGAACAGGGAACAGCCCAGCGGGGCACAGCCCTGGCCCCTGCTCCTGAGAGCCTTCCCCTGAGAGCTGCTGGTTCTGGCGCCCGCTGCAGGTGGGGTCTAGCCTAGAACTGTCTGCCGTATTGTGGTTAATCCTCACATCAGCCCCTGAAGGGTTTCATGAAGCCCCTGGGACATGAAGGGATTTGCATGGGGTCACAGTCTGGGGGGATCAGGATTTAAACCCAGATCTGTCTCCAGCTTTGAGGCTGGTGCTTTTTATAACATCCAGAATAAAAATGCAACACCAACCTTCGACGGGGCAGTCAGTAAGCCATAAAGACGGAAACTTGCACACCTGGGCAAAGGGTACAATCCTTGGAGTCCCAAAGAACTGGGTTCAAAACCTGCTCTGCCCTCACTGCTGTGTGACTGTGAGTAGGCGGCTAGACCTCTTCTGTGCCTCAGTGTTCTCCTCTGTGAGATGCCGAGGGTGAAGTTTACCCTGTAGGTTTGCCGGGAGGTTTAAATGGGAGCAAGCCACATTCACAGGACTCCCGTCCAAGGATGCCATATGATGAGTGGCCGGTGAATATTAGCCATTTCCGTGACTTGCAGGGGCTGAGCTGACAGCCTCCATGGGCGGTTGGGGATGGCACGAGACTGACCAAGCCCACCTGCCCACTGTGGCTTGGCACTTCCCTGTACTCTCCTAACTCTACTACCGCGGGCTTTGCTGCAGAGTAGTTGGATGTGAGGTAGTAGCCGGAGCCTGCATTTCAGGGAAGGGGGCGGGGGCGGATGCTCCACACGCTGTTCAGACTGCCTGCCCCACACGTGCCACCTGTTCCACGCCGTGAGCTCGATACCCTCGCAGCCCACAGCATCCCTCTCCTTTGCACTCAATGGGAAGGGGAACGTGTGCCTAGGACCCTCCACCCAGGCATGGCAGGGTCCATCTTGAACTTGGGGCTGCAGGTCTGCCTGGCTTTGAGCCTATGCTTTTTGCCATGCCTGTGCCCCTGCTGGAAACAAGCCAGCCCTCCCATGGGAAGAAACAAGGGTGTCATTTCCATAAAGATTAATGATTGGCCAGCTGATATGGAACTAAACAAATATGTCTCCAGAACCCTGGTTAATGTTTACCCACATTCATCTGCCAGGTGCCAACAGCCTTCTTTTGGAATGCACGGCTGTGGTTCTACCCTAGGGACTGGGCAGACCAAGTTTGTCCTGGGAGCGTGGCCCCTACTAGGCTCCTTCCTGGGGCACTCGGTCACCACGCTGCCACCATCATGGCATTGGGTACTTACTCTGTGCTAGGCTTGGCACGTACACTCACACCACCTTATGGAGGGCACCACAGCAATTCCTACTCTATAGAAGCGGAAATGGACTGGGGAGGTGCAGGCCTCGCCCTGTGAGACAAAACTAGCAGCGGAAGTGCCCGATTCATCCAGATTCTGGTCATGAACCTCTGCTCTTGACTGACCGAGGAGCCTGGCCTCCCCTCCTCGGCCTGGTATGAGCCAACTCCAGGCTTTGCTTAGGGATGTGGCCTTGTTTATGGTCCCAGACTTTGGCCCCCAGGAACTCAGTCCGAGGCCAGGGCCTGCCACGCTGGAATGCTGATGTTGTGAAACCCCTTAGGAAGGCAGGCAGAGAGCCAGAGGTCCTTGCCACTCTTCTCGTGGGGGCTCCTCTGCATCATTTAGGACTCAAGTCAAACATCTGCTCCTCAGGAAGGCTCTCCCCCACCATCCCGGCTGGAGTTCTCTTCCTTCCTCCCCCTCCCCCACTTCGTCACTTTCCCTGGATCCTGTTTTTCTCCTTTGCATCTATTGGTAGAATCTGAGGTTGTCTTGTATACTTGATTGCTTCTTTCTTCCTTTTTTTTTTTTGAGTTGGGTTCTCACTCTGTTGTCCAGGCTAGAGTGCAGCGGCACGATCATAGCTCATAGCTCACTGTAGACTCGACCTCTTGTCTCAAGCGATCCTCCTGCCTCAGCCTCCCATGTAGCTGGGAGTACAAGCTTGAGCCACTACACCTGGCTAATTTTATTTATTTGTTTACTTATTTTGAGTTGGAGTCTCACTCTTGTCACTCACGGCCACCTGCTGGACTTAGGCAAGCCTTCCATCTCAGCCTTCCAAGTAGTTGGAACTACAGATGCACGCCACCATGCCCGGCTAGTTTTTGTGATTTATTGTAGAGACGAGGTCTTACCAAGTTGCCCAGACTGATCTAGAACCCCTGGGCTCAGGTAATCCTCTGACCTCGGCCTCCCAAAGTGCTGGAATTACAGGCTGAGCCACTGTGCCCGGCCCAATTTTTTTTTTTCTTAATAAATATGAGGTCTCACTATGTTGCCCAGGCTGGTCTTAAACTCCTGGGCTCAAGCAATACTTTCACCTCGGCCTCCCAAAGTGCTGAGTTTACAGGTGTGGGCCACCACGCCTGGCTTGCTTCTTTGTTTTCTGTGCCCACCAGAATGACAACACAGTGAGAGCAGGGTCTTTGTTAGATTTTGTCTCTTCTGGGTCCTCAGCCCTGGAAGAATACCTGGCCCTCCTCGGGTATTCAGTAAACATTTGCTCAATGGATGAAAGAATAATCTAAATCAGTTCCCATGACCACCTTGAGTGGTAGTGTCGTGGCATAAAGGCGACCTCAAATTCTTTGCTACTCCTCCCAGAGAGGGTAAAGAAGCTCTCTCCCTGACCTGTGATTCTAGCCTGGGCCCATGACTCACTTGCACTAACAGAATTTGGTGACAGAAATGAGGCTGTGCCCCTTCTGAAGCTAGATCTGAGGAAGCCTTTCAGCTTCCACCTGGGTTTCTTGGAACACTCTGGAAAAGCCAGCTGCTGCTGGACTCGGTGGCTCAGCCTGTAATCCCGCACTTTGGGAGACTGAGGTGAGTGAATTGCCTGAGCCCGTGGGTTCGAGACCTGCCTGGGCAACCTGGCGAGCCCTCATCTCCACAATAAATCAAAAAAGTTAGCCAAGCGTGGTAGCGCGCGCCTGTAGTTCCAGCTCCTTGGAAGGCTGAGGCGGAAGGATCGCCGGAGCCCAGCAGGTTGAGGCTGCAGTAGGCCAGTAACGTGCCACTGCACTCTAGCTGCCATGTGGGAAGTCCGACTAGCCTGAGCCCGCCACGTGGTTGGGAAGCCCAAGCTGCACTGTGGAGCCAGGCATGTGAGTGCAGACACATCTTGCATGTCCAGCTCCATCGAGTTTGGATGGCTCTGGACCCAGCTGCTCTCACACTGCAGCCACACAAGCCACCCCTGACCAGCTGAGCCCAACCAGGGGACACAACTATGGGAGAGAAGCCATTTTAAGTCTTCAGTAGCTGGAATTAAAGGCGCGCGCTATTACGCCCGGCTAATTTTTTTGGTTTATTGTTGAGATGAGGTCTCGCTGCCCAGGCGGGTCTCAAGCCCGCGGGCTCAGGCAATCCACTCACCTCAGCCTCCCAAAGGCACAGGATTCCAAGCTGAGCCACCGAGCCCGGCTTTGTTTTTGTGTTTTTACAATACTGGTGGTCAGTATGAGGTTGAGAGGTGGTCCTGAGAACTTCTTTCCTTGTCGTTGTAGATCTTCATAAACAATGAGTGGCATGACGCTGTCAGCAAGAAAACATTCCCCACGGTCAATCCATCCACGGGTGAGGTCATCTGTCAGGTAGCTGAAGGGGACAAGGTAAGAACGCGTGACTTATCGCAGGCGGGGATGGGTTCATTTATCTTCTAAGTTTTTGTATGACTGAAACTTTACCAGTATGTGTATTACTTTCACAATAAAAATGCCAGTTGGACATTTTGAATAAATGAAGCTGTAGAAACAGCACCAGAGATCTCGACAAAGGTGCCAGATGGTATCAGGATGTGTTAATTCACATAGTGTGAAACTGTAGACTTGGAAGTGATGTCAGGGACCGTCTAGTCCAGCCTCTTCATTCCAGGCCTGGAAGTTGAAGTTGAAGGTCAGAGAAGGGTGCTGCACTGCTAGGTGGACATCTTATTGGCTAGGATTTTGGTCTCCTGAGATCTAGCTCTGGTGTGGGTTTGAATTGTATGTACTGGTAGGAACTAAAAAAAGCACTAGTATATCAAAAATTTTGAAATTAGACTCAATAAAAATATTTAATTTTTTTAAATAGAAAAGGCATTAAAAATAATTCAGGAATGTTCCCTGCCCTCTGCTTTAAGACAAGCCTTTCCATTCATACAGTAGGCTTTGCCTCCTTTGCTGAAAGCAAATATGAATATTTTCCTGGTTTATAGGGTGGTCTGATGGCAAATGTGATTAATATAAATGAAAGTCCTGTTCCCTGTTTCCTGATTTGCATCTCCCAATGTGGAACATGCTAGCTGTGTTGATTTTCTGCTTCTCCAAGGAGTGGGAGGCTGGTTAAACCTGCATTTGTTGGATAATGCAAGTCATCCAAGAATAAATGGTTTATTTCGCTGGCCTTGCTCTCTTAGGAAGTGGGAGAAAACAGTCAAAGTATAAGCACTGACCCCTGGGTGCCTCTGTCTCCAAAACTCTTTGGATAATACAGAAGGTATCAAGATTCTCGTTCCCACCATGACTTGTGGAAAGGAGAGAAAAGGTTGTGTTATTTAGCCCTGTCACTGAAGTCTGTTGCTTGTTAGATGGAGTCCCGTGGGCCAGGAGGGACCATTCGGGGGCGGGTCTTCCGCATAGCCATGTGCTGATTGTCCTCTGGATGTGGTGGCATTCGGAGGCAGTTACTGCTGAGGAGGCCTGAGCTGCCTTGGTGGGTGTTTTTCAGGAAGACGTGGATAAGGCAGTGAAGGCTGCCCGGGCCGCCTTCCAGCTGGGCTCACCCTGGCGCCGCATGGATGCATCCCACAGGGGCCGACTGCTGAACCGTCTGGCCGATCTGATTGAGCGGGACCGGACCTACCTGGCGGTAAGTCCTCAACCTTTTCTTCCTCTTGAATCCCACATGGCACATGGGCTTGCAGCATCCCATGAACACCAAGGGCCACACTGCTGACATGTGACTGAGCAGAATGGCATAGGAGGGACACCTCTGGGGTACACCCTGTGCCAACCAGAGGAGCCTCTCAATCTCTCCTTTTAGGCAGTGGGTTTAGCTAAGCAAGGAGGTGTCTAGCGGGAGGGAGAGGAGCTTGTCGGGGCCTTCCCAGCAGAGAGACCCCCAGGGTTGAACACCCCTCCCAGCCCTCTCCATGGTGGGCCTCTCCCTGGCTGCAAAAGGCAGAAGAAACCAGGAGGCGGTCCCCTCTTCTCCCTATTCATTCTGCATACAGCAGCCAGAAAGAGCCCTCCAGAAGGTAGATTATACCGTGGCATCCCACTCTTAAGCCCTGCATGGCATCTTGTATCCTTTGGATAAGTCCTCAGCGTAGCCTACAAGACCCTGCCGGGCCTGGCTCCATCACCCAAGTCATGCTGGGCTTTGGCCTCACACGCATACCCAACTCACCAGCCATCCCTCGCATTCTTGATGGCCAGGCTTCTTGGAGCATCAGAGCCTTTCCACCTGCCGTACCCTCTGCCTAGGGTACTCCTTGCTCTGTTGCCATTTGTACCATCCCCTTTGCCTAGTTGCCTCCTACATGTCCTTCAGGTTATAGTCTGAAGGGCTCTTCTCTGGTTGGTTTCTGGACAAGCTGGGCAGCCTGACCTTCTCCTTTCCAGCACACTTAACACGTGTGATTGGTGACTTGACCATTATTCATGATCTCTTTGCTCTGTGAGCTCCACACATGTCTCTGTATTCCCAGCACCTGGATCTGGCAGAGAGCAAAAAGCTAAAAACTGGGTTTGTGAAATGATTGAGTGACAAGTCAGAGCCTCTTGGCTCCCTTCCTCCTCCTCCCTGCCTTTGGAGAGGCTGATGGAATGGCCCAGAATTGCCTGTGACATTCAGCGGCACAGAGGGGACTGTCATACTTGGTTTCCACCAGCCATCCTCAGGCCAGGCTCCAATGCCCTTCTTCAGCAGTTAGCTTTGTTTCATTCCTGCACCAATATGTCCCTGTTGACCTTGTTTTCCTCTCAGGCCTTGGAGACGCTGGACAACGGCAAGCCCTATGTCATCTCCTACCTAGTGGATTTGGACATGGTTCTCAAGTGTCTTCGGTATGAGAAAGGGGAGGAAATGTTGTTGGGAGGTAGAAATCAAATTACAAAAATGTACAAGGGTCACCGGAGTTGGAGAAGCCTATACTGTTTAGACTCCATCTCATGGGAAAATTCCTGAATATCAAAAATTGTGACTTAGTCATAAATGTTTTCTCTTTCTTCTTGGGTCACTTTTGATAATTTATGTGTTACTTGGAACTTGTCCGTTTTATCTAGGTTATCTAATGTGTTAGTGTACAGTTATTCATAGCATTATCTTATTGTTTTTTTTAAATCTCTGTACGATCTGTAGTAATGTCTCCACTTTCATTTCTGATTTTAGTTATTTGGGTCTTCTCTCTGTTTCTTAGTCTAGCTGAAGGCTTGTCAATCTCATTAATGTTTTCAAAGAACCAAACTTTTGGTTTTGTTGATTCTCTCTATTGTTTTTCTCTTTCATTCTCTTTCTCTACCTCCTTTTCTCCTCCCTACCCCCTTTCCTTCCTTCCTTTGTTCCTTCCTTCGTTCCTTCCTTTCTCCCTTTCTAGAAAGACAGGATCTTGCTCTGTCACGAGTGCTGGAGTGTAGTGGCACATGATTATAGCTCACTGCAGCATCAAACTCCTGGGCTCAAGTAATCCTCCTACCTCAACTTCCTGAGTAGCTAAGACTTCAGATACGAGCCACCATGCTCCTCCACAATTTTTTTTTTTTAGAGATGAGGGTCTTATTATATTGTGCAGGTTAATCTTGAACTCCTGACCTCAAAGGATCCTCCTGCCTCACCCTCCTAAAATGTTAGGATTACAGGCATGAGCCACTGCTCCTAGCCCTTCTCTCTATTGTTTTTCTAGTCTCTGTTTCCCCTATCTCTGTCCTAATCGTAGATGTTTTAATGACCAAGGAATAAGAGCTTTGTTAGTTTGCAAGTAACAGAAACTCACTCAGCCCAACCTGGGCAATGCAGAGAGTCAGAGGACCTCAAATCCGAAGGACCACTGAGTCTCACTTACCTGCTCCCTTGCTTCATTCTTCTCTCTGCTCCATGTGGCATACTTGAGGCGAGTCTTCACCTCCTGACCTGATTCCAGCCAGACATAGCTGCAGTCTCTTAGTCCTAATGCCAGATTCTTGAGGGAGAGATCCCGAGTGGCTGGCCTTGAGTCTGACCAGCTGCGGTCAGGGTGGACAGCCACATAATGGCTGCTCCCCATGACATGTGCACAGTGGTAGGAAGGAGGAAACAGTGCCAGAAAAGAAAGAGCTGGACAACAAAACTAGCTATCCTTCACAACAGGGGTGCTCAGCCAGGGCGGTCATGTCTCCCAGGGGATAGTGGGCACTATTGTCATTTTTGTTAGGCTCAACTGACCGCAGGGGATGGGTGGAGGCCAAGGATGCTGCTAAACATCCTCCAATGCACAGGCAAGCCCCCACAACAAAGAATTTTCCAACCCCATATATCAGCAGTGGCAAGGCCAAGAAACCCACTCTGGAAGGACACTCCAGAGAGAGCAGCCTGGTAGTTCTTGGAAAAACCACACGCCTTCCTCAGGGAGCATTATACCTTTATGCTGAGGCATACAGAGCATATGTGCTGGAGACCGTGCTTACACAGATCCGGAGGGGGGACATTGCAATGTTGGCGTTACAGTCATGTGCCACCGCGCCTGGTCCATTTCAGAACTCTTTCTTTCACCTCCCATGCTTCCTCTTTCCCCAGCTTTCATTTTTCCTTCCTCTCTGAAAACCTAACCAATCCATACTATAAATACCCACCTGGGTTTTTTCCCATCTCTAATTTTGCTGTGCTTTTCTGTCACTGGTGTCCTTGAGTGTCTAGAATAATGAACTTCACAAGAGTTGGGGCCCAGTGGGTGGGTTCTATCTTTCTGAGCCTGTTCTGTCTTGACACCGCACCCCCCAACAAGAGGTGCTAGCTGTCTCATGGGTCTACACTTTGCCACCAGGTTTGATCCGTGGTTCTCAGATGCTGGTTTATTGTGCTGGGCTTGTATAAAAGTCACATTTAACCGGGCTTGGTGGCTCAGGCTGTGATCCCGCGCCTTTGGGAGGCTGAGGTGAGTGGATGGCCTGAGCCCGTGGGTTTGAGACCCGCCTGGACAACTTGGCGAGACATCG